TAATCTCTATTCAATATTGAAACATTATTTCTCCAAACAAATACAAATCGCAATTTAATTTTTATTTCTTTTTTCCTTTTTTGAGATCAATCTCTAGGCTGAGCCGGTTAACTCCCCAACCTTTGGGATCCAAAAACTATTCTTAATTGTGTTTTACTTGGAACTAAATTAACAATATGGTCCTCATCAAGCACAAAATCTTTCGGCATCCTCAAAAAGGAATCTTGAGCATAATAAATAGGTACCAATGACAAGGATTTATGGAGAAGAATCCAAGAAATCTAGTCACCTTCACTGAATAAATAAAGCTTTAGTTCGATTTTTGATAGTCATAAATGGAGGTTTTATCCTCATATAAATAAACTTCCATAAATAAAATAAGAAATCAAACTCGAAGGTGGAAACAACGGGATGAACGAGATTTAGTATTGACAATATTCACCATGTAAAAGTCTGTATATAAAGGTTTCAATACTTCCCCTTTCCTGCAGCATACATATGTACTCCCCATCCAGCCGTCCAATTTAGATCAAGTGAGCCATTGACCATTTGATCTAGATCTGATACTTTAGAGTATTTTATTTTTATTTTTTTATAGAAATTATATGAATATAAAATTTGGTATGTTCCATCTTCTCAATGGGGTGCACTTAAAAAATATTAAAAATAAATTAGATAAAATATAATGACCAAAAAGCCTGTGAATCTTTCAAGGGTATTTTGGCTATTTTATTTTATTGAGATTTTTTTTATTTTTCTTTTTTTTTTACAAATGCGAGTTTAAGAGAGGAATGAACGCCCAAAATTGGTGTAGAAAATATTTTTTAGAAAAAAAAAAAATTGTAGAGAGGTGACATTGTGATTGGAGTCATCTCAACCATCCATTTAAAATGGATGAATAAGGGAAAATATATAAATTTTATGTTGTAGGGGAAGCATATAAAGCTTGTCCGTGACGTGATGCTTGTGTTTATAATCAATGACCTTTATGTCTAATCAATATGTGACTCATCTCAAGCCACCTAATTTGACATCTAAGAAGTAATAATAGTTGTGACCTCTTTGTACTAAGGAAAAAGTTTATATAAGGATGCTACCTTATAATGTAGAACTATGGATGCCCCTCAAAAATCTATTGAAAAAAGTAGTTTTAATGTTGAAAACCCTTTGATTGATCATCTTGACACCGAGATGTACGACTATGAAAAATAAAAAGATTTTAAGTCTCAGAAATAATGCATTTTACAACATATTATCTACACTGTCAATTTTCAAGATTTTCATATGTTTATAGATCTACTTGATTTTAACCATTTTTAAAATTTAAAATTTTACAATTAGATATAAAAATATATTTTGAGATAATCTTAAGAACATTTTACATCAAGATTATATATCATGATAAATTTTGAAGGTGCACCTTACCTCTATGCCTACAGATGCATCCGTATGCCAATTGCACCCTTGTACAAAAGTTAAGTGGTCTCTTTGTGAGCAATCCCAAAAAAAAATCTAACATGTTTAGAAATAGAGAAAGTTTTTTATTTGCCACCAGGCGTAGGGAATTTATATACACGCCACTCTTTTCCAGCCGTTGGATTTGAATGAATAGCTGGGACGCCTTCAGCCACAATGTCACAAGTGAACCTTGAGCAATTGATATAGGTACGATGGTTCATAATATTTTTATTTTTATTTTATTTTTTCTACAAATCATATGCGGATGAAATTTGATGCGTATAATCATCTCAATAGAGCATATCTAAAAAACATATAAAAAAAATATTTTCATGAAACTAAAATAACCAAACTGCCCCTAAAACTTTCAGGTATTTGGGTTATTTATTTCTTAAAAATATTTTTTAATAGTTTTCATAGGTTTGATCCTGTAAAAAGATTGGATGCCTCAAATTTGGTGCCAAAATGATTTGCATTAAAAAAACTAAAAACTAAATAATATTCGGGTCTTAAGGTCATGTCATTCAGATTAGATGGCTCGGATAGAGGTGGAATATATAAAGGAAAAAGTTTAGATAGCGCTGAGGCTCTAACCAATCAAATTAGAGCCCATCTCAAAAATTTCATTAGAAAAGGTTGTTTTGATGCCCAAATATCTTCAAATTGATCATTTCACATCAAGATGCATTAACATGAGAAAAAAATGGATTTCATGTTTTGGAAATAGTTCATCTTGTAACACATTTTTGGACCGTCAATTTTCAAGATTCACAAGTTTTCATAGATATGATCGATCTACATTATTTTTTAAGCTTTAAATTTTATAATTAATAAATTAAAATATATTTTAAAGCTATCACAAAGATTTACAGTAGTGAAACTATATTTCTCGATACTATTTGAAGGTGCGCTTCACTTTGATTGCTTAGAGCATCGGCTCCATACAAACCGCACCCATATATAAATTCCCTATAACGGTGGCATATGGAAAGCACGTCCCTTAGATATATTAATAAAATAATTGAGTAAGTCTTAAATCACTTTCAAATATTCGAATTTTAGATGATAAGTTTTCAAAGTAATTTTTTTTGTTGGTAAAAATAGTAAATTTTTAAATTTTGAGATGTAACTAAGATGGTAATAGATGATAAATATATGATTAGGGTTTCCCAGCCGTCCGATGTAATTACAACGGCTGATGGAAAATGTCACACCAAATTAAAATCAATAAATAAGGCAACCGGTTCAACCGCGCGCTTGCTTCGGTTTTCACCGAGCGACACATTCTGCCAGTCTCTTTCTCTGCAACAAAGGAAGGACACCCTTTCGGTTACAGGGACAACCGTCGTCAATCCTTTCAATAAGGTTCTCTCTCTCTTTCATCCCAAATCTTTTTTAATTTGTATTGATATCTCTCATCTCAGATCTTTCACAGCGTCAAGGCTTGAGATCTCTGGAGCATGGAAAATTCAATAGGTATTGACACAAATAATTCATGTGTGCTAGCACTGTGTTCTATTGCTGGAAGACATCCCTGTTATCTGTTTCATGGCTAGTTATCATGATCGGTTCGAAATGTTTCTTGTATGTGTAATTGTATGGTAGTAAATTGTTTAAGAGGCGAAATCTTGAAATTTGAGGATGAATTTTTGCCACCAATAAGAAAAAGAAAGTGGGGCAACAAATCAGGCAATTTTATGGCATGATTTTTTATGATTCTAATGAATTCTGGGGACTTGGGTTCAGATATATGAGTGCGTAATAATTTTATGGCATGATTTTTTCTGAATTATAATGGAATTTCTGGATCTTGGGTTTGGATAACCTACCGAATAATAATTAGATGGCATGAATTTTTTATGAACTGTAATTGAATTTTGAGAACTTGGGTTTTTATCTTATGGGACAAATTTCAGCAAGATATTTGATGAAATTTGGTGTAAAGGGAATAGGAATTTAGATCAGTGTTATCAGGATCAAATCAGCCATCAAACTTGCGAGGGGTTTGGTCTGTCCTACTGTTTGTTGAACCAGTATGTCCGGATTTTAAAAATCTTAAGGAAAGGGTGTGGTTTGTATAAGGCTGAGCCCTAACCATTCGAAGTAAGGTGCAACTTTAAATTGTGTTGAAACATGTTGTTTCAGTATTAGAAATCTTTGTGATAGCTTGAAAATTTATGTTTACCTATAATTATAAAATTTAAACATAAAAAAATAGTGTAGATCGAGTAGATTTATGAACACAAGAAAATATTGAAAATTGACGATTTAGATAATACATATAAGATGCATCACTTCTAAGACTTAAAGACTATTTTATCTCATGTCCATACATCATGAGGTCGAGATGATCGAATCAAGGGTTTTCAGCATTGAAACAACCTCTTCTAGCAAATTTTTGAGGTGCGCCTTAATTTGATTGTTTAGGGCCTCACCTTATATAAACGTTTTTTGTTTAACAAAAATATGAATGATAGTTTAAAAATATGTAATGTATTAGGGGAAAAACGTTCTTCACTTTGTTTGGACGGTTGAACCGATTTCACCAAGTGGTTGGACTGGCCAAATTCATGACCAATTTTTTACCAAACCCAGTTTTTTACTCTGGACTAGACTTGTTATAAGGCATTGGTCTACAGTTTGACCGGTTGGACCGTTAAGGCATCGGTCTATAGTTTGACCGGTTGGAATGTGAGTTCGGACCAATCTTGATAACTACGATCTGGATACCCAAACCTGATATGAAGTTTTTACTAGGAGTGGTTTATCCTGAGCTTTATTCTTATATCATTTTTTTCTTTTTGATTCAGGAAGGTGTGGAAGATGAGAAAGGCCCCACCATGCAACTTTCATAGAGAGTTGGGAGAGGTAATATAGGAAGTCACCTCCATTTTTTTGCTTTAGGATTCAGGAAGGTGTGGAAGATGAGAAAGGCCCCACCATGCAACTTTCATAGAGAGTTGGGAGAGGTAATAGGAAGTCACCTCCATTTCTTTTCTTTTGAATTCAGGAAGGTGTGGAAGATGTGTAAGGCCCCACCATGCAACTTTCAAAGAGAGTTGGGAGAGGTAATAGGAAGTCACCTCTATTGAATTTTTTGCTGGGTCCCAATCACATATCTTAAAGTTTTCCCATCCTTTTACATCCTCTCTCTTCTATTTCCTTTCACTAAAGGCTTCCTCTTGTTTCTCTGTGTCTCCATAACATGCCTGCTCTCTTTCTTCTTGTCAATTGGTCCTTAATTCCTTAAAAATCCATCCTCTCTCTCTCTCTCTCTCTCTCTCTCTCTCTCTCTCTCTACTACTACTACTACTACTACTACTACCTACCTACCTACCTACCTACACTACTACTACTACTACTACTACTACTACTACTAACTAACGTAACGTAAC